AAAAAAAAAAAAAAAAAAAAAAAACTACGTCGTAGTCTTTGACTCCAAAAATCAAACAATGGGACCCACTTGCAAACATTACCTATCGGATAAAAAAAGAAATATCACAATCGGTCCACTAGTGGCGGAGTTATGCCGTAACACACATAAAAAAGTCGGTCAAAAAGACGATATATAAGCCATTATTCTTCTGGTTTCCCTTTGTATAGATTAGAAACGCATCTAAAGTTTTAGAATATAATAATAGACACAATCAATCGCTTGGTCATATTTTATATAGGTATTATCTTAAACTATAAAGAAAATAAACAAATTTAACACTTACTTTGAACTTTGTTGTACGGAGTTACTGTCCACAGCATGTATTTCGTCTGAAACAGTCAAAACAACATCTTTAAATGTAAGAATATGACAGAAATTATGAATTATAGTTGGATAAACCTTTTAACCGTGGTACAGCCCGCAACATCTTTTGTACTAATAACGAAAAACAACGTTTGTGAAACTACATTATAAAAATCCTAAGATCAAATAGCTGATTCACTGACCCTACATAAATTATAAATACTTGCGTCTGGATTAAATTGAAGGAAGTTTGACAGTAGCCTCAGTGGTAGAGGTGAGGAGTAAAAGATTCACATGGTATGTTATGAGGAAGGATGAATCGCATGTAACAAGGAGAAAGGACAAAACCCTGTTGCATCTTAGCACTGCAGCGCCGGCACGCTCGGTATAATACCACGACCACACAGAAGATGGAGCAAATGGAAAGATGGAGGAAATGGAAGCAATTCCGTGTTTCGTCTGATGAGTATGGTGCCGGAGGCCTCATTTAAGTCCCTTTCTCTTTACCACCCTTTTCTTATAAAGAGAGGATGGGAAGTGGAAGTGGATTTGACGGTGGAGGAGATACATAGGAAGGCAATGTCTTCTTTACGTGTGTCTCCTCCGTCGTATAAGCGTAGGCAACGCATTTGCAATTGCGGATGTCTATGGGCAGCGGTCGCTTCGCCATTTTGGCGGATTTAGGTGGTGGCTTGCTCGTTTGCCACCTTATGTTATTAAAAAAAATAAGGAAGATGTGTTTTCGTCTGGAAAATGTCGAGTCTTGCCTAACTTCTTTGAGATATAACAACTGACATTCTCAGCTTGTGTCTACTCAATTATTACACATTTCATGCAAATACATAAAGTTAAGAACAATATTTGTAATAAGGAAGCAAACATTTCCTTTGGAACAAAGCAAATATTAATTTTCTCTTATCATGTCGGTAACATCGAGAAAATCACGTTTCTTCGTGCAAACAATTTTCGATTGAGGCTGACATCATACTGCTCCAAGTGGAAGTGAAACTTTGTTTACTGTATTTGAATTGGGATTTTTAATATGAATCTTTCGTTGGATGTAGATTTTTACCGCTACTTCGTCTGTGTGTATTTAAATGATACTCCCGTGCACCTTCATCCAAATGAAATTATACAAACTTTATTTAATTGTTTACATTTGTCAAATTATCAATTGCCACTGTCAAAAATACCGTTACCATAATGGTACATGGTCTCTTTTCCACATGAAGTTTTCTTCCAATTTATTTACCCTCTAAGTTTAATAGCGTGAAAATCTCATATATAGCCTAAAACGTGTCGTAAATGTAGGGCTTTTTATTAAAGAAGGAATTATTCAAAAATATGCTGTGATTGCTGACATCCTATGCCACGAAGTAGTGTGTGTTTACTCTTCATTATTTTAGTATAGATTAAATAAATTATAACTACTATGTTTTTATACTGATTGTTCTTTTTTTTATAACATAAGGTGGCAAACGAGCAAGCGGCCACCTGAATCCGAGAAAATGGCGAAGCGACCGCTGCCCATAGACATCCGCAATTGCAGATGCGTTGCCTACCCTTATCCGACGGAGGAGGAGACACACATAAAGAGGATATTTCCCCTTCGTATGCATCTCCTCCACCGTCAAATATACATGCCCTTTCCATCCTCTCTTTATAAGAAAAGGGTGGTAAAGAAAAAGGGACTTAAATTAAGCCTCCGGCACCACACTCATCAGAGGAAACACGGAATTGCTTCCATTTGACGCCTGTCTTCTGTGTGGCCGTGGTATTACACCAGGCGTGCCGGCCCTGCAGTGCTAAGATGTTAAAGCAGGCACTACCACTGTTCTTACTAAAGCCAAATTAATTCAGATCTATTCAGCTGTTTGGATATGCCTTTTAACAGACATCCATTCAACCAAACAATCACATTTTTAAAGTAAGATTACTTATGTAGGAAGAAAAGCAGATGATGATGATAATAAAGATGGTGATAAAGGTGATGAAGAATAAGATACCGATAGTCAAAGAAGTGGCTTCACTTTTCAGTGGCTTTCTTTTGTCACATTAAATTAAGTTACATTTAAAAAAAGAATTAAAAAACCAACCTTTGTGAATTTAAATTTAAAAATCTCACCCAAGTAAATCCAACATTAAAGAAATGAATCCGAATCGAATACGAAACGTTATTTTCCGCTTAGATAGATCTGTTCTCTTTTTCTTCTGATACTTTTGAATTCAACGAGACGGATATTGCGGCATATCCAAAGCTTAGCTCGCTTGCAATAACCGATGGAATACGTAAAAGATTTATTTTAAAAAAACTAAATGACTTATTTAAATACTACATTTTAATAAGAAACTGATTTAAAATATTCTGTACTTAATATATTCATAAGAGTATGTTTGCTTGTGCGTATTCTTATAAAATATTATAACAAAAAGGAAAGATTTGTATTTTAGTATGTACTAGCTGTTCCCGTGCGATTTTATCAGCATAAAATTATTTTATTGTTTACATGTGTCAAAATGACATGACATGACAATACTTGATATCTTGCTTCCTTGATGTTGGCAGCAACTTATGGTCTCTTTCCCACATTAGGGTTTATATCCAAAATATTTACCCCTTAAGTTTAATGGCGTGAAAATATATAGCCTAGAGCGTGACGTAAGTGTAGGGCTCTTTATTTAAAAAGTAAATATTTAAAAACATGCTGTAATTGCTGATATCTTAGACAACAAAGAATTGTGTGTTTACGCTTTATTATAATAGTATAGATCAAAATAACTCAAAAACAATTTCCTTTACGATAAGAACGTCTGATAAATTATATATGAAATTCGATAATCAAATTAGTACTGCGGGATTCGAACCCAGGACCTGTATTTTACAGGTAAAATAAACCCCTGAGCCACTGATGTCAAGGAAATTGCTAAATTATAATCCATCAACGAAAAGGCACATTCCGTGTTACAATTATTCAGTAGAGTGAAATTCATTTGCAGATTGGGGAAGTTCACATAAATATTTAGCAACCGCCTCTAATGCATTAGAAGGCAGACGCTTCACGTGAATTATGGATCATCTTGTGGTCCAAATGATAAGCGGCAGCGGAAATTTTAAAAAAATATTCCTTAACATACAGGGATAAAAAATTAGTTATAACTATATAAGAAATAAGGTACCTGTAAATACATAAAGAAGCAAGAATGAAAGGAAATAATTAAAAAAAAAAACATACAGCGACATATTCGAACATCACGTGATCATTAAATATTTTAGTTAAAATTCATTTATTTCATTCATTAAACAGTAAAGTTTTCATAGCAACTCTGGAATTGGATGGATGGATGTATGTAGGTTTGTTAGAAGATATCTCTAGAATGCGTCCAGACCTGGATATAATTTGCTACGAATGTAGAACATACTTTAAAAGAACAAATAGGCTACTATTTAAGTTCATTAATTGCACGCGGGTAGTGTCGCTGGCGACCGCAAAAAGAAAACAAATTTTATTAATTTTTTATTTATTTACATAAGTAAAAATATAATGCTTTACAAATAATGTCCAATGTCTACTCAAATAAAACAAAGTCCTAACATTAATTGCATTTCCGCTACCAGCTTATAACTCATATCGACATGTTATTTCGTATAAGTAGGAGAATCGACTTTTACATACGACGAATAACATACGAAGATTTGGTAGTAAATAACGAACTTCTCCAATATTGATTAAGAAATCGAATAAAAGATTCTTATCTCACAAACAGAACATCACAAACTTTATTACGTATCTATCATGTTTATTTATTACGTAACTAACTGTTGTTCGCGACTCTCTGCGTGGAACTTTAAAATACATAAGTATGTGTTCTTCAAGACTATCCTTTACATCTATACTAAATTTCATCGAGATCCGTTCAGCAGTTTAAGCTACAAACAAACAAACAACAATCTAAACTGTTATTTTATTTTGATAATTTTTTTGATTTGATTTATTAAACACATAGGATAATTGTCAATCGATAAAGCCATATTAAATGACTAGCTGTTTCCGTGCGGCTTCATCCGCATGAAATTACAAATCACTAATATTATAATAACCTTGCTTTCTTGATGTTGGCAGCTTGTTTATAGTCCCTTTCCTACATAAAGGTTTTCTCCCAATTTATTCAACCCCTAAGTTTTATAGCGTGAACATATGTAGCCTAAAGCGTTTCGTTAGTGTAGGGCTTTTTATTAAAGAAGAAATTATTCAAAAACATGTTGTAATTGCTGACATCTTAGGCAACAAAGAAGTGTGTGTTTACGCTTTATTATAATGGTATAGATATAGATGATAATCCAGTATTTTGTACTAACATATGAAGCCTGCAACAGCATAAAAAGCTAGTCTGAACAAAGCATTATCAACGTGAAGTTTAATAAACATCAACATGACATGTACACTCGCGTGAAAAAGCGCAAACCATCGCGATAAGTTACAAAACGTTTTGTAAATGAACACGTTATGTACGCGACTGTCTACAAAGCCTACACGAGACCGTGACGCGTGCTTTTTGATATTAGTGATAACTACTCCGTGTAAAGTACAATCCTGCGGGAAAATTTCATATGTTACATAAAAATATGTATTTATTTCGCATTGTTTATTTTCGCTTTGAGTTTATTTTACCGCGGTTATTACTTTCCTTTGCGAGACAGATTTGATGGCGAATAAAATGCAAATTTAAAACGTGTAAGTCCGCGTACACTTTAAATTGTACAGTTTGCAAAAAAAGTGTATAATTAAAACTGAAACTGCACATTTTAACTGACAGTTCAAATTAAGATTTCTTTTAAAGTAAAAAGTGAAATGCACAATTTTCTTTATATTGGAGTAAAATAGGGAAATACTTAGTTCAACCCAATATAATATTACCAAATAAAGATTTTAAATAGCTAGCTGTCTGGTTAAAGTATCCTACATGTTCTTCCAGACTATGCTTTACATCTTTGACCAATTTTATCTAGATTTGTTCAGTAGTTTAG